GAGCCACCCAGGCACCCCAGTATTTTGGGTATTTAAAAACCTCCTCAACTTTGGTTATGTAAGTCATAGAGGGCAAGTGACGCTTTTGAAAAAAGAGCTAATTTTTTAGACACAGGACATTGGCAGAGAAAGTTTGTGAAAGAAAAGTGCTCACTGATAAACATTGCATGAGAATTGCTTTCCTCTCCAGGGTTGTTCCAACTGCCTTGAGGCTGTATGGTTAGAATTCACACTACCAGACAGAAATGTCCTTGACACGGTTATGATGATCGCCATCATTGCTTCAGCAAGAGCAATGTTTTAGTGTCTTTTTTTCGTTCTCTTTAAATTATGCTGTTAGCTTTAAGCCTCGGGGCAGAAGTACAGTAAAGTGGATAACTAATTGAAATATTTAAAACAACCAGACAGCAGTATTCATGAGCCATCACAATGAACTAGCACAGAAAACTGCCTCCTCAGTGTAGGTATTGATTAGGTTAGGAAAGATGTTTACCTGCAGATTAAAGGTCCATCAAGGACAGGAATTTGTCTTTTATTCCACATAACATCTTTGTTCACAATGTTAGACACAAATGTGTTTAAAAGAAACCCACTCCTTTTAATATAAGCAGAAGTTGTCCTATGTAGGCATTCTCTGTGGGGGTATATCAATTAGCTAAACAGAGCTGTAATGGTGTTGCATAACACACCATCCTGAAGTTCACGGGTTTAGAACAGCAATCATTTATTCTCATGGATCTGCTCTGCTGACTCATACACCTGCGGGAAAGGAACTGCAAAGTCACATGGCATGGGTTTTGGATCCCAGGAAGAGTGAAGCTTTGGAGCCAATGATGTAATCTACTGCATGGGGATCTCGAGTTTTGAACACAAATTCTAAGATGCCTGTTGGTGACGTATGATTGTGAGAGCATAGTGCCCTACTGAATCACCTTGATGATATATCAAAGTAAACCAGGATCCTTCAACATTATTGCCTGCAATATAGTCTTGCCTGGAGAATGAATTCTTCTGTTTCACTCTTTTTCTATAGATCAATTTGTGGATAACTGACATCTAAACAATATTGAATCTTTCTCCCTAGGGACACAGTGAACCTCCAATATGTAGTGAGGTTCCTATTGCCTTCTGTTTTTAATTTTAGAGTTTATTTGACCTCAGTTACATAGAGCCATCTCTTGTTCTCCTTAAAGCCAGGAACATTTTGATTATTTAGAGATATAAATAATATTACCCAGGTGGAACACAGGGTCTCTTGGATCACAATCTGTCTAAATTAAGTAGGTTTGGGTTGAGAGTACTGCAAAATAAGGAAACTTAATATTGAAGATCATGGCAACTAAGTTTAAACTTCCGTCCCATTGATAACACCTATCCCATCTCAAATGAAAATTGACAGCATTAAGGGTGATAGGTAAATGCTTGAAAGGGCAGGGTGATAAGGCAACTAAAGTAGTATGATGGTTTTTGATCTTACGATCAGCTTCAGAACTTATTAAAAATTCCTTATCAGTATGCAGTGCCTTATGCATCAAACTTTGTACACATAATATTCATTCTTCCCCAAGGTGATAAATCCCCCTCCCTACTTCCCTATTTCCCTGCCAACTCAGATTAATATTCTAAAGTCAGATTTGGTATGGGGTTGCAAAGATCTGGACTTAAATTGAAGAATTTTTTTTAAAAGCCTCAGGCTTTAAAATTTTCATAACATTTGAAAAGTAACATGCAATTCAGCCTTTTCCCAAAAACTGTCAGTATAGCTGAGGACCAGTCTGGTTACCTTTCTGTCTTGATGACTATAGGATTCTGGTGGTTACATCAGAGATGTAACCTAAGGGATCTGGGTCCCTTAGGACAGTGGAAGTGGCATCCTTGTTCCCCATCTACCCAAGTTTGTATTTTTACCCAGATGAGTAAGGGAATATAATTTTAGTCTCTAGGAATTCTAATCTTTGCCAAGTATACCTGAAGTCTTCATCCCATCCTGAGCTTGAGAAAATGGACCTTTGCCACATCAAAAATCAGAGAAAGAGAGGAGAGAAGCCAAGAGTGAATGATGTGATGATACTGTATGGTATCACCCAAGACTTCCAACTGCAATGATACAGGATTTTGAAGAATTGCTTGGAAGGCAGCCCCAACATGGTGACTGTGACTGCCATCTCAGTGAGTGCTCTCCCAGGAGCTGTTCCTAAGAAGTAGCGCCAAGGGAGAAGTACCAGGCAAATCAGCTACCTAGGAATGTGGAGCTATTCTAGGAAGCATGACAGTCTCCACAATTCATAGAGGAACATTTTAGAGCTCTCTTCAAGAGTGGCATATGAGGACTCCCTATGTTAGGAGTTTCCCGTGTCTGAAAGGTCTTGGAAAATGTGACTCACCAGAGAGATTAATGACAAAAGCCCCTCAAATGACTTTTGAACTTAGGGAATTCAAGGTCTCTGATTTTCTCTGGCATCAAAACATGTATTTGTAGCTTTCCTCATGCATAAGGAGATTTGATTTTGGATTGGCCTATCAATAGAGGTCACAGTAAGAAAGAAGAACAGTTTTTCACAAAAACCAACTTAAAATTGGAAACTCCTAAATCTTACATGTGGACTAACCGGTTATGTAATCTTGAATTCCAACCCATATTTTAGATCCCAGTTAAGTCTGAGAATAGGGGATTATACAAGGATGGATATGTCATGGACCTACAAAAGTGGTTTCTTTTGTCTATTTCTCATAGTTTGTAAGGCTTTCGTTGAAATGCACATTTGACAGTAGACAGGGCATATTGGCTGCATACTGATATTCAGCTTAATATAATGAGGAAGAAGAGAGTAGGAGATGATAGCTGTAGTAAGAAGAATTCACTTTGATAAATGTGGATGTCACTAATGCAAATTTAATTGGAACCGATGAATTTTTTGAACTTGGTGTTTTGCCTGATCTCTAATAGGATGTGTAGGGATGTAAGAATTTGTAACAGAAGAATATTTTGTCCCTTTTTAGATTTCATTTAACATTCTCTTATAACACTTATATTTAAATAGAAGCTGATATATTTCCTGTTGTCTGTATTATATAGCTAACAACCCTAACCAGTCTAGTAATCGCTGAATGGTGTCTGCTAAGAGGGGTAAAGATTGTCCTCACACACAAAAAATCTCAACATTTAATTTTGTTCAACCTTCAAGTATGATCAAGAAGTTTCATGTACACTTGGGGCTGGGGTACATATTGAACCTCTGGGCACCTCCCTGTCTGTGCTAGGAATGTGAGTCACCTGGATTTTCACAAAGAGCTATTATTTCTTTTCATTTCTTAGCCTTTGACTTTGCAATATTCTGGGCATCATTTTCATAGCATATCAGAAACAACATATCTGAGTGCATTACTTTTATACCTACATATCTGAAAGTGTTACTTTTATACCTTTTGGATTTCTGACTTGAGAAAATAGCTAATTAGTATCTGGATAATAGTTAGGAATCTGTGGTTATCTATGGGAAAGTAAATTTGAGTGCCATTTTAAAAATGCATCAATATCTACTACAGGAGAGCACACTCATCTTCTCCCCAGTTGTAAGCCTCAGACGATGGTTTCCCTGACACAGATAAGGACTAAAGAAGCACGAGGTGAAGAAAAATAAGGGGCCAAAATAGGAGCAACAGGGGTTAGAGAAGGAAGAGTGAAATAAGGTAAAGAATATGAAGTTGAAATGAACGGGGAGACTTAGGAGTCCTGATTTATGAGAAGAACTGACAGGGTAATCATGTGGAGGTTTCTCTTTATTTTTTTACCACTTGGTCTTTTCCTTCAGCCATCACTATCCTTGCCACTATGGGGTCTTGTTGACACATACCATACTTTAGTAATTGAAGTGGGGATTTACAACCCTGTTGGGACTCATACTTGATTGAGATCAGCCGAGAAAGGAGTAAAGGGGAAGGAGGAAAAGGAAACTCCTGACACAGAAATAAGGGGTTTTGTTGACACATACCTGGTAAGCAAATTAATTATGTAGAGGGAACTGGCTCTTAGGCATTTTGTTATCAAACATCCTATTTTTTTAAAAATAAAATCCTTCACAAAAACCTTTTCTATAATGTTTTCCTCCAAATAAATTGAATTTGTCATGCGTTGTAATACTCTAAGCTGTCAAGAAATACATTTAGGAACTTACTTGTGTTTCTATAAAATATAGTTGATACATGAAAATAAAAGTAAACTACTGCTTATTCTTTTCTTTCATATGAATTTTAAATATCGAGAGTTAGTCATAGTTATTTGGTTGGTACAAATTAATAGCTCACTCTTAAAACCACTCTAGTTTCCTTGAGTGGTCACCTGTTACAACAGTATGCACCGTAATGATCAACCACCAATATCTTAGTGACATATAATAATAAGAATTTATTTCCCACATGTCTGTGGATAGGTAGGCTATAGGTTCACTTCTGTGATTTTGCTGGAATAGCTCATCTCCATCTTTCATCCAAAAGATGAAATCATTTTTCATTTGTCGGTCATTCCCCTCCTGAGGTCAATAGGCTAATCTGGGCATGTTTTCTCATGATAGTGGCAGAAGTGCCAGAGAGTAAGGCCAGTTATAAAAGAGCTTTTATAATTTTCACACTTATAAACTTTGCACACATAAATTGTGCTATCCGTTCTACTAGCCAAAGGCAAATCCTATCATCTAATGTGAAATCAAAGGTGGGGGAATAGACTTCAAGTCTTTCACAGAGGGAACTACAAAGCCACATGGAAAATGGCCTGGGATCAAAGAGGAAAAAGGAATTGGAGCCATTAATGTAATCTAACATATTTTGGAAACCCAAATATGACATTTCTTCATTTCTCTTTTCAGGTGTACATGCATACATATTTATACACAAATGTATACACACTGTATGTGTGTGTATAATGATACATGTATATAATATGTACACAACTCTTTGATTACATAGTAGTGTTTTCTTAAAGAGAAATTTCATTTTTCTTACAGAAATACAACATCGAGAGGAAACCTATTGGTGAGAGGTAAAGGCAACCTGAAGCAATTTTTATGATCGGTGGATTCTGCTTTTTTTGAAGTTGTACTGCATAAGAAGAGGATATTTGAAAGTATTCAAGTAACCAGGTAACCTTGTTGGATAGGGCAATTGTCAGTACTTTCTTTGAATGTTATCAATCACATAATCTGCATTTCTTGTTACCAAAAAAAAAAAAATATAAAATGAATTTCATTTGTTGTAGAGCTGGCAATGGGAAATTGCCTTGAATAGATCAGCAACATAGAGGGAAAAAAGCCCACATACTCAGTAGGCATATCTTTCTCAGCATCCTGTGTATTGCCAAGAGATAGATCAGTAATTGCCTCTAAGGAAATCTTAACCTAGCCCTGCTCAGGTACCTGAGTCACTCTCGAACACTGCCAGTGTGACACTTCCAGTTTTTCACGACTCAGATAAATCACCAAATCTCCCAGAGCTAAGCATTACAGTGTATCTGCAAAGTTACTAGATCTCGTTGTCCTCCCCAGCCCAATTGCAGAAGGCAGAAGTCACTCATCAAAGAATTTTCCCTCCTTCAGCTGTGACCTTCAGCCATTGCTTATCTCATTTCCTGGTGTATCTCCTCTGCCTTCTACCCCCTTTTTCTTGCCTGGATTCTCATTACCATTTCCCGGGCCGTTGAAAGAATTTCCTCAAAAGAACCTGTCTCCTCCGTCTACTCATCTAATCTAATGCATCGTGTGTATTCTCATAGTCTAATCAGTATCCTCCCACAAAACACGTATACACATGCGAGTCCAAGACCTTCTATGTTCTGCATACCCTGGATTTATTCTGGACCCTTCCTTTTTTCCCAGTCTAATCTCCCAACCCATACCAACATCCAGTCAAAGGTGACCAGCTCATTCTACTTTGCCTGGACTCTTCAGGGTTTAGTTGCGAAACTTTCACATCAGTTCCAGACAAACCTGAGTGATTGTTCACTCTAACATACTCTCCCTCACTTGTTCAGACACACACACACGACATAATTTATTTAATGAATATTTATTGAACACCTAGTATGTGCTAGGCACTGTTCTGGGATACCGGAGATGCAGCAGTAAACAACAAGGCAAGGTCTTTTCTTACAGGCTTAAAAATTCTAATACAAAGAGATAGATGATATGCGAAAGATATAAATATGTCAATGGTGATAACTGCTGTGAAGAAGAAAGAGCAAGGGAGAGTGAAGAAGGGGCTGAGTAATATATCTTCCCAGGGGAGGAGGGAAGTTCTGACAAAACGTCTACATGCATTCCATGGTTAATAGTTTGCGTGTCTCCTCATGTGCCCTAAAATATCCAGTTCATTCTTTCATGGGTTCATTAATGTATTATCTCACACCATAAATTTTACTTCAACACCGACTACCCCCTAGACATGGTTTTAGAAATTGTTGACAAAAGAGTGAATGAAACTCACCTACTCCCCACTCTCACAGTTCTTAGAGTTATGCGCAAGAAAGATTTGAACCAATGATCACACAGATATATTTATAATTATAACATGTGATAAGAACTAAGAAGGTACTGAATGGGAAACTATGGGTACTTGACAGCGGGATCTAAATTTGATTCAGGAGTTAAGAATACATTCACAAAAGTATAGACTAGTAGAATGAGCCAGGGAAGGAGTGTTGGGGAGGGAAAACATTCTAGGCCCAAGGAGTAGGACATGTAAAGCTGTGAGGAAGGGACATAAAAGCTTAGTGTGGAGCAGAAAGCAAGCCCATATGTGCAGAGCACAGTGAGTACTAGGTGATGAGTGCTGAGAAGACAGTAGAGAATCGATCAGGGAGGTTTTTATATTCTGAAGACTCTTGGTCTTGGTTGTACTTTGCAGTCACCTAGGATTTTATAAAATCCTGTTGCCTTGATCCCTAGGGAGAACTCTGTAGGGAGTTTCTGGTTTGGAGTACAGATTGGGTGTTGGGTTTTAAAATATTTCTTGTTGGAGGGGCGCCTGGGTGGCTCAAACATCTGACTCTTGGTTTCACTTCAGCTCATGATCTTGTGGTTTGTGAGTTTGAGCCCTGCATTGGGGTCTGTGCCTGCTCAAGACTCTCTCTCCCTCCCTCTCTCTCTGCCCCTCCCCCGCTTGTTCTCTCTCTCTCTCTCTCTCTCTCTCTCTCTCTCTCTCTCAAAAAATAAATAAACTTAAAAAATATTTCTCACTGGTGAATATTTTTCCCAATTATAGGCTTTCACCTGTTTCTTCATGCAAGAAAAGACCCCACCCCAGTTTTTACATATTAGAACCCTGCATATTTTCCCCAGGTTTAAGTGTTACCTTTTCTCGGAAATTTTTCTTCCTTGCCCTGCTGAAGACAACCACTTGTTCTCTTTTCTCTTTGCCCTTTGATGTCTTGTTTATATACAGCATTAAAGAGCATCACAAACTAACATTCTGATTCAATTGCAGACAACTTTGAACTATTTTTCTCACCCATCAGTTGCCTTGTTTGTCCCTGTCTCATTTCTATCCTCCACGCTGCCTCTCAAAATCTTAGTACCTAGACTTGACTCCAGCAGATATTAGGTATGAGTCGGTTAAATTGAATAGACTACCACCGTAAGAGGAGACAAATGCCCAAGACAGTACAATATCTCTAAATCTTAGATTTACATTCATGAGAGTGAATAAGCTTGCATCCAGTCACATTACTTGGCTGTCTCTGAGATAAGCACAGGCAAATGTAATTGTCATTTTTTATTTAGTGTTCTAAGCTGAGATGAAAAAAAGATGGCGTTCTGCAGCCTCTAAATTTGATCTTACCTTAATGGTTTTATTTTCCATTATGAGTTTTTTAAAAGTTTGGAATAAACATGCCGAACTCTTCTTTATTCCTATTTTTCTGGTGAACGATACATCTAAATAGTGTTCATTTGCTTTGGATGTTCCTGGCATCATTTTTAGCTAGTGCCTCTGATCTTGTTAAAGGCAGAATCCATTTTTATTTTTTAATCAAGAATTCTGTCTTTGATAGTGAGTTACTGAGAAAGGAATAGATAAAACCTGAACTATCCAGAGGGAATTTCCCTGGCCTGCTTTGTGGAGATAGTCCAACATCAGGCAGGGTTATTAATCATGCCTCTTTTTATGGACCTCGAGTTCTTCTTGCTCCTGTTGAATAAAAACGAAATTATCTAAATGAAAATTCAAATAATGTATTTCAAACATTCTTGAATGAAAACTAACATATATCCTTAATTCTGTAATCTGTAAGCACAGATGAGTGGAAGGCAGAATAAGATTTCCATTCTAAAACTGCTGTATCATTTCGACTGCCTTTGATGGCAGGTAGAACAAAAGTAAACTCAAAGAAATTTCAAAAGTAGGAAGCATTTTATTTCACTGACCAAAAAGACCTTTCCAAGGTTGGTTAATTCACAGACTCAATGATACCTTTAAGGATCAGGTTTTTCCGGTATCTGTTTTGCCATCTTTCCTGTTTCAAGGAGGTCCTCAGGTTAATTCCTCTCATGATTGTAAGATGGATGCCATAGTTCCAAGCGTCACATCCAAACACAATATCCAGAGAAAGATTCCTTGACCTTCTTTGGTCACCAAAACAAACAAACAAACAAGCCAGGAAACACTTCTGAAGTCATGTTCTTGTTTGCCACTCAGAAGACTTCCTCTCACCATCACCTCTCACCTCATAATTCTGCAACAAGTCCGCATCCAGAGGAAATGGTACCGCCACTGTGGGTCCATTCCAATCAAGAACGATCCCTTGGGGGCTGATTCCCCAAACACATGGCCCTGTGAAGGAGAGTAGATACTTGAACCAAGACTGAGGAAAGGTACGAGAGTGAGAACAGCGGGGGGAACCAACTAACAGTGTCTGCCAAAACTGGCATGGGACTTAAGAGAACTGAATTGTAGACCATTATATTTCTTCTTCAAACCAGGAGGTTACAACATTAAAATCAGAGGCTTTAGGAAGGCTACTTTAAAACTTTGTTGATTTTAAAATTTCAAAAATGTGAGGAAAAGCCTCTTTTAAGAAAAAGCAGTATTCACATTAGTTTATTTGTTGTATTAAAGTATTGCAAACTGAGTCCTGGCCTAGAGGATTTTAAATAACCAAGTCTTTAAAGTTTTCAACAGTGGCCTCTGGATTTCTTTCTCCTGCATTTTTTTTTTTTTTTTTTTTTTTTAATGAAACAAAATTTTAACACTGTGGGCATTTTTACACCGTGTGTGTCTACAGTGTGAAAATGTGATATTGATGGTAGGTTGGGGGACTCAGGAGCATGGTGTGGGTCAGCAGTTAGTGTCAGGATTTGGAGTCGGGGTTCAGGTTAAGGAGATAAGCTGTTAGAGTTGAAGGGATGATGAGTGTGTCTAAACTTGAGGGAAAGAGGGGGATGGGGCTAATTGAACTGTGGAGCTGCGGCAGGGGACCATTTCCCAGATTGGAGTTTACTTTCATCAGGAAGTGAAATTCTAAGAGGCTATTGCTAAATAGACTGTATAAATTACTCTGATGGAAAAAGCACTGCTTTCCTGCCCAGGAGACTGTCCGATACTTGGTAGTCAGAGGATTATTCTACTCATTTGCACAAGGAATCTCAAATAACTGTGATGTTTTGATATCTCCAGAGGGTGAGCACACTAGTCCAGAGATGACTAGAAACTCTCGGGTGAGCAGCAGTACACAAGGACAGAGACCAGCGGGCAGTAGGCGTGAGGATTCTTCCTTCAGTATGTTTCACAGCAGAGGCCCTGGCAGGGGCTACAAGTCATAAACATGTTTACTCTCTTAGGTAATGAGAAAGTTTTTATATTTTTATTATGCCTAGTCAGACATTTTTTTTCTCCAATGCTAAATTATCTTTGCTAGAAGTTTATTTAGGATTTTTATACTGATGTTTGTAATTGTTTTCTTTTCTCTTACTGTTCTCAGTTTTTTTTAATTTTAATTTTTTTATTAAAAAAATTTTTTTAATGTTCATTTTTGAGAGAAAGAGAGGGAGAGAGTGCTTGCATGTACACACGCAAGACGGGGAGGGGCAGAGAGAAAGGGAGACACAGAATCTGAAGTAGGCTCCAGGCTCTGAGTTGTCAATACAGAGCC